AGTTGGCTTAAAACTCAACACTCGAAAAACTTAAGATCATGGCATCTTGTCCTATCACTTCATGGCAAATAGATGGGGAAACAATGGAAACAGTGACAGACTTTATTTTCTTGGGCTCCACAATCACTGCAGATGGTGACTGTAGCCTCAAAATTAAAGGACACTTACTCCTTGGAAGAAAAGCTACGACCAACCTAGACAGAAAATAAAGAAGCTGAGCCATTACTTTGCCAATAAAGGTCCATATAGTCAAAGCTATGGTTTTCCAGTAGTCATATCTGGATGTGAGAGTTGGACCATAAAGAAATCTGAGCACCAAAGAATTGATGCTTTTAAACTGTGAGAAGAACTTTTGAGAAGACTCTTGAGAGTCCCTTGGACTGCAAGGAGATTCAACCAATCAATCCTCAAGGAAATCAATCCTGAATATTCATTGGAAGGACTGATGCTGAAGGTGAAGCTCCAATACTTTGGCCACCTAATGTGAGCCTAATGCACCTAACTGACTCTGATGCCAGGAATAGACCCTGATGCTGGGAAAGATTGAAGGCAGGAAGAGAAGGGGATGACAGAAGATGAGATGGTTGGATGGCATCACCAAGTTGGACAGGAGTTTGAGCAAGCTCCAGGAGCTGGTGATGGACAGGGAAATCTGGCGTGTTGCAATCGATGGGGTCACAAAGGGTTGGCTGTGACTGAGTGACTGAACTGAACTGATGGAATATTATATAATTAAGCAATCTTGAATTTCTGTATTGCAAAATTATTGTCCTTTGTCTTTTACTTCATACTTCTAAAAACATAATGACTATAATTTTGGACTTACTACACCTTCAGCTATTTGGAATCAAACTGAATTTTAGATCAAGCTTCATCATTTCGTTAAGATTTTATTTTACAACTAAAACCTGGAACAATGCACCCATGAGTATAATGTATTTGAAAATAATCACTATCAGGGACACTACACCCTTGAATAGGAAGGGAAATAGCACAATATGGAATTGTTTTGTTAACTTCAGTTTTCAGTCATTTTGTGATACATACCAAAAATACTCGAATAAGCTTTGGAATGTAAAAACATTGTTCTAAAGATTTTAATTGTAGTTAACCAATCTATACTTAATATGGTTTGCATTCTTGTTGAGGAATAACATTGTGATAAATAGGTTCTCTGTGTCCTGAAATCTATACAAAGCATTTGGAGACTTGGCACTGATAGTTTGCATTTAATCTTTCTGTGCTCTTGCTTTGCTATCAGTAAAATAGGAATAGGGACTGGGGTCTGTGGGGAGACTACTTACGTGTTATATGGACTATGTAATATGAGTAACAAGAGCATGGATAAATATAAGCTGAACGACAACTGTCCCCTCCACACCATTCTGTCATAGAAGTTCATTGTGAAGTTCACTCTGACGAAAAACCTTGGAAGTTTTGAAGAGAAAATGTAGACTGAGAAGTAGTAAGGAAGGAGCTGTGCAAAAAAAAAAAAAAAAAGAAAGAAAACATATATACACACACAAAAACACCACTGTTTTAGGATAATCTGATACTAGGGGTACACTGTGCAAGTTCCTTGCTGTAAAATATCTTCCCTGATAATAATTGATTTTAAAATTATTCTCATCTTTTTAGACTGCCTTAACATCCAGCAAGAAGAAACTCATTTGATTAATGGACATCTTACTTGAAAATGAAAATAATTTATTAGCCACCAGAAAGATAAATTAATATCTTTCCTTTCACTTTTTTAGCTGAAAATAGCTACTCTGTGAGAATGCAAATACTGATTCAGGGAAGGGAAAGGGTGAGAGGTCCTTTTAGAGCACAGAATCCTTCTGGAATAAGCTTTAATCATGGAGTTCTCTGTGAGGTACTCAAGTAAGATTGCATGTGGAAGCTGGAAAGCCAGGAGAAAGAGAATGCAGAGAATGCCAAGGACATATTTTGCCTAGTTTAAAGCCTAAGTTGTCTAGTTGATATTAAAGCCAAGTTAAGTAGCTCTTTTCCTTCATATACAAAGGGTCTCTTATGTTAAGAAAACAATTCAATTAGAATAAATATGTTTCTGCAGGAAGTACTATTTTAACATGATGTTGCAAAGAGGAGGCATCATAAACACCAAGCATCTGTTCTTAAAGTTTCCAGTTGCCTATACATATAAAATCCCTTTGAGCTAACCAGAGGTGCTATCAAAATGCTTTACTATGTCTAATTATCAAAGGCAACAAATGACAACAAATGTTTATGTATTCATGGATCTAAGAAAATAGGCTAAAGTTTGATTTTCATAAAAGAACTAAAATCATTTTTCCCCACAAAATCACCAATACCAGCACTACATATTAATTTTTATACAAATGGTTTCCTGAGTTTATTCACAATAATATGTACTTTAGGACAATAGATTGTTCAGTCTACCTGGGCAAATCTGGTGTTTTTTTTCTTTGAGAAAAAAATATTATTACAATATCCTCTCTTTTTGAGAATAACAATAAAACCTCCAAATTTATTATTAAACACTATCAAGAACCATCAACTAGAAAGAAAAGCAATATAAAATAATTGTTCATGAATCCATTAGAAGTCAAAGTATTTTAAAGTCTCAAAGAAAGGATTTGCTTTTATTGGTTAAGTATTTATAGAACCCCATAAAAAATGTCCCATTCACATCTGCTTTTGTTGCTCTAGAGTTCTAGCCAAAAAGGACACGATTATGCATCCCTACTTGGGTTCCTTCTGCAGAATGAAGGTGTAATGTGAAGCTTTCCCTTATAATAAGGTCGCTCCCTACTACTGTTGTTAAGCCACCGTGTTTGAATTTTCCAGAAAAAAACTCACAATTATTGGGAAAATCCACTAGCATCTATATCTTTTATACCATTTCAACTTTCACTGAGTGATGAGGAATCATGTTGTTTTTTGCTTATTTCTGACCATGTTCCTTTCATGAAAGGAGTGTATGACACAACCTTTTTGAGCAAACTCGTTGAAAAATTAAGATCATCTACTTAAAAAAAAAGCTATTGCTTATGTAAAGACAAAGTTATTTTGTGATCATTTTCATTTTCCAACTTTACTTACTCTAATTCTACTACTACAAAAGCATATATAGAAATTATATCTCTGTTCTGAAAAGTTAAACACCAAAATCACATCTCTAAGTTTGTTATATCAATTCTGATAAGAAGGCATTACAGCACAAGCAAGAGGAAAATAAGTCAATATAATGATACAAGTACTTCCAGTAATAAAGCAAAATGAAAGAAAAAGCTGAACTGGGGCAAAGAAATCCACAAGATATGATCTCAGTGTCTTTCTAAATAATATCTTCCATGTAATATTAAGAAGTTCTTTAATGTCTTTCAACTATTGCAAAAGACATCTCAAAATATGGACACATACTTTTATATATCACACAAATGAAACAGACCTTTGTGTGTGGAATATACATCACTTACATTATAAAGAGAATTATGTATAGTTTCTTTTATTAAATACTGAAGTTACAAGTCTTCTAGCCTACACTGTACACTTCAGAGCTCAGTAATCACCCCTCTCTGAACTAAACAAAATAAAATACACAGTAAACAGTAAAACAAGCACACATAAGTAGATCACTTATATTCACTAAAGAAAAGTGTAATATGCTCAAGTTTACATTCATGAGTTCTTTCTGTCAGTAGTTGTAGCAGCAGCAGTAGTAGTAACGGTATTTAAAGTAGTAGTAATGATATTTTCTCCAACAACACAAAAAGATTCTTTCAAATTCAATCATTTAGAGAAAACAATACATAGCACGCAGTGGTTCTGAATCATGAAATTTAATAATAGGACCAATTTGGCCAGATCTTTTTATTATAAATATTATTTTAAAATGTGTTCAAATTTTATGCATATCATTAATATTACTTCCTATTTAAAAAGAGAGTTTATCTTCTTGAAGTATAACTATTATGTAGTATTATCTAAAGTTTACTGAAATGCATTATAACTATATCATGTGTGCTAAGCTCACAAGTTCATTACAGTAATATTTCAACTATATAACCATAGGATTAAAGATAAATATGCTACTCTGTAATTCAAAGCACAGGGAAATAAAAAAAAAAAAACAAGAGTGTAGTTCATTATAAAAGGACAGATGATAATTAAATCCAATTGGTTTACTTCAAAGTCAGTTTACATAACATCAAGGTAGTGCCAACACCATATACTTTATTTTCAAAGGCTTAACTATGACCTATTTAGTAGATTATAATACCAATATAATACCTTTGGCTAAAATTTCTTCACTTGTACTACAATTCCATTCGATGTAAAATTTACAGAAGCCTTTATTTCTAGATGAGGCCATTTATGAACAATATACAGGTCTGTCAGCACACATTATCTATGATTTAATTCTTCTGTAAAAACTTTGGCATCAACCATATTAGGATTTCACATATGAGCACAAATGATTTTTGCTCTGGCCCCAAACTACTATGTTTACATTTTAGTAACTACAGAGAGTCAAATGAATGGAGTTTACACATAATGACAAGCTTCTACGATTTCTTTTTTGCTTTCCTTAAAAAAAAAAATAGACGTCTAACCTTTCAGGATCTAATGTTAAAAAATACTGACATTGTTTGCCATTATACTATTATACTTGCATCTTGACTGTTGGTAATGATTCCCCAAAACATTATTTTACATAACCAGAAATCTGAAAGAAACTGTAGAAGTTAGTATGTAGAGAAGTTGGTAGGACTTTGTAGACACAAATTATATACTTAAATAAATACTTAGACAACACTGAAAAGCAACATGGTATGAAAATTGTGGACCTATATATGTATTTTTTTAAATCTCACTCCCCCTTAAAAAAAGGAAGCTTAATCAGAATATTCAAGTAATGTAGTAGAAAACAATTCCTTTGATATACTACTAGACAAAAAGCCACACATTTAAATCTTTTCTTCATCCAGTTTGGCTGAGGAACTCTAAAACTTTCAAAGGCCAGTTGATGTTCGCTTTTTCATGCTTCGTCGCTGAGCTAAGCTTGAAGCAGCAACAGGCTCTAGGACTGGTTGAAAAGTCTTGTGAGTCAGGGCAGAATATGTGGCGACCACTGTTCCCTAAAATAATGAGAAATATTACAAATTGAATAACAATCTCTGAAGGTAAGAAAACTTCCACATTGTATCATGAAAAATTTAACTAGAATAGAACTTTTTCCCCCAGGAAAGTAATTGAGAATCCATAATACTTACATTAATGCTCCTTTGATTAACATCTGACTACGTATATATTTTTATTTCAATAAATATGCTCCTTACAAATTTTTAAAACACTAAAATGTATTATTTTTTCAGTCTTTCAAAACTCATAAAATTTGTTTGTAAATATCTTTTAAAATTTATTTTTCATAGGAATTATATATATTTAAGGCACACAACATGTTATCTTGATATACACAGTAAAATGACTACTACAGTCAAGCTAATTTAATATATGTCCTCTTCACATAGTTATCATTTTTGTGTGTGATAAGAGTACCTGGAAACTACTCTTAGCAAATTTCCAGCATTCAGTATAGTATTATTTATTACCTGTACTTAACATCAGGTTTCACACTAGACCTCTAGGCTTACCCATGCTACATAACTGTAACTTTGTATACCTTGACCAATATCTCCCCATTTTGAACTTCTCCCTGTCTACTGGTAACCACTATTCTACTCTCTGCTTTCACATATTTGTTTTTTTTTTAAACTCCACATATAAGAGAGATGATGTATTTTTTTTCTTTCCGGGTCTACAGTATTTCACTTAGCATAATGTCTTTGGGTTCATCTCTGTTGTGGCAAATGACAAAGATCTTCTTTTAAAAAGTTGAACAATATTCCATTATATATAACATATTCCATACATACACACCCCCACCCCAAATTTCTTTATTCTCAGATAAATTTGCACTCCCATGATCATTCTAACAATATTCAAAATGGCTAAGATATGAAAACACACCTTAGTATCCATCAACAGATAAATGGATAAACCACTAAGCTTCAAAATCTAGGCTCACTGTCTATAAGTATGGAAACTTGCACCAATGGCTATTAATTTAGGAACCAACAGACATCATTTTTTTCCCATATGAAACCTGAATTTAGTCTGCACCAAGCCCCAGTGTGTCTTAAAGCAAACCAAATATAATCAAGAAAATTTTATGTATCATCAGTAAGGCTGTATGTAAAGAAGGCTGTTATTTTAAAAAGCAAGCCAAAAGAATCTATAAATATACTTTAAAAAATAAAGACACATATAAAGTAATTATATGTGTCATCATTGAATGGCATGCAAGGCATAGCATTTAGAAGATGCTTAAAAGTATGTTGGTTTTACCTTAACAACATGTGATGTCCTATTTCTATTTGGCTGATCATCTGGCAACTGATCTCTGTGGGTTATCCACGAGTGTTTCAATACTTGCTCTGTAGTGTACCGCTGCTGTGGGTCCATATGTAGCATATGAGAAAGCAAATCCTAAATTGAAATGGAAAAAAAAAATATATATATATATACATACATACATACAAGAAACTACATACTACATATCATTAAGGGTTTCAGTAAAATACATAATTTCCCATTTCCTCAAAACATGAAAATATTGACAGTTTGGAATTTGTTTAATTTGACCTGTCACTAGGGGAAAAATTTCCATATAACTGCACAGTTAACTGTTAAAAGAGAATGTTGAAACATACTTTTAAAAACATAGCATATACTTATTTATCATTCTAAAATCAAGAAGTATCAATTTAGTGGAAGTGGAATGTGATCAGTAAGGGAGAAGGAAAATGTAAAGCAGCAGGAGCTATACCGGACTTCACTAGACAATCAAGAGGATAAAGGACCTATTGATCTTTGCTGGCAATCTGGGCCTGAAAGTACAAGGTTATCTGTATACAGACACAAATTCATAGAAGGGAGAGTCTCATGTTGATAATATACTCAGTAACTGATGGTTTTCTGTATAAAATACTAAAGAAAGCAAAACATAAATACAAGGTTAGCAGCTTACTGTTAACATAGCAGTAGTCAGAATATCATAAGTTTTTCATCAAAGTAAATGTGAATATGCTTATTTTCTCTATGCTGTAATATAAACTTCTGTAATATAATCTCATAGTAAAATAGAATTTTAAATCTATTAAAAGATATAACATTTAAAATTAAACAATCTCCATAAGCATCTATCATAGAAAGGAGAATTCAAGTCTCCTTAACAAGCATCTTCTAAAATAGAAACAAAAGCATTTGCTAAATTATTATCAATAGCAGAAGCAATGAGAAACTAAAGACTATGTAGTAATACCAGAATGTGAAGAATAGTGTAACTGATTGAAACTATGTAAAGGAGTAGAACAACCAATAAAAAAACTATTGGAAAAAGAATGTATGAACAGAAATAAATTTAAAATAATATTAAAAAGAATACAACAGTGAATTATATAAATAAAACAGACATAAATGAAAATCATAAAAATGATTAAAGTTCTAAGAACTTCTGATTCTGGCCAAGATGTAAAACTAGGAACTGAATTCACCCCCAACCCCCGCCTGAAACTCAGCGCCTCCAAAAAAAGCCCATAAAATGTAAGAAACAACAGTTTTCAAGAGATCAGATATTAGGCAATGAAGAAAAGTAATCCCTAAAAGATGGGAAACAAATCAAGTAAGCCCTATGATTGCTCAAGCTTAGAACCATGAAAAGAGTTTTCAGGATGTCAGGTAGGTAAGGAAAACTCAGGTAGAGCCTGGCAGATTCCCTGTGTTAAAGAGACAGAAGTGGGAATCAGGGGCAGAGAGAGAACCCTTGTGGGGGTCTCTTTCAAGTGTTTTCATTCCAAACCATATGTGGTTAAAAACAACAACAACAACCAAACAAAACAGAAGTCATGGGGGGAAGCATATGCAAGGATTAGAGGGAAAAGGGAGTCCATGTAAGGTGAGGTATAGTGCCTATTCCCACCAGTCAGACTGGAAAACCTCAAATTCATGAAGTATTTGTTAGAGAAACGGAAAGAAACCTGCTTGAGTAGTGGTGACTATTCCTAGGTTAAACACTGCTCTAGTCCTGCCTAAAATATCTTAAAAGGAAAACCCAGAAGTAACACATTGTTTCCCCTAATTAACTGTGGTCCAGAAAACAGTTAAAGATTAGTAATTCAAAAGCATTTAGCACTCACCAAGGTAAAATTCACTATGTTGTGCTTCTTACCCAAAATTATAAGGCATATAAGAGAAGGAAAATAGAATGCATAATGAAAAAAAAATCAGTCAAAATTGACCCACAGCTGACATATATGTTCAGAAGCTAAGTAGAGAGACATAGAAGATGTAAAACAAATAAAACAAATGAAACTAAAATGTGAGACAAAAAAAATGGACCAAATAAGATTAAAGGCACATTTATTATGGCAGGTAGAAAGATTGGTAAAGACACAGCAATAGACACTATAAAAAAGTATAAAACAAAAAAGCAAAAGAGCAGAGCATCAGTGAGCTATGGAACAACTTCAACTGAAAAAGTACACAAACACAATTGGAGTCTCAGAAAGTAAGAGGGAAGAAAAGAATGTTTGAAGAAATAATGCCAATAAAATTACCAAATTTTATGGAAACTATGAACCCACAGATCTAAGAAGCAAAGTGAACCCCAAGTACAAGAAATAAAGAAAATTACATCAAGGAACATCAAACCAAATTGCTCAAAACCCAAGACAGAAAATTTTAAAAGCTGAGAAAAGAAGAAGGCTTGTTACATATAATGAAACAAAGATAAAATAAAAGCCCAGTAAGCTGCCCTATGCATCAAGCTGCCCTGAGATATGACCCTGCTCACCAGTGGTGGTGTGCCAGTCCTAGGTTTCCCCAGGTCCTGCAGACAGCCACCCTGGCCCCTGGTACCACCCACTAGCAAGCCAGCACCAGCTCCAGGACCACTGGGGCCAAACAGCCAGTCATGCCAGGACTGAGCTCTGCTCAACAGTGGGCCAGCAACAACCACATGACACAGGGCCTGGCAGCCAACTGGACTAGAAGCCAGCCTGGCCACCAGTATGTCCAGAGTAGGTGGTTTTATAATAAGAGAAGGACCCACACATTACACATATGGGTCATGTGTAGGATATGTAGCTCTGGTGAATGGAATGGAGTATGCTGATTGGCACCACAGGCTATCTGCTATGTAATTCCATTTTGTGAAGATGAGCAAACATAACTGACCTACTTGACAAACACAAATAGATACAGAGAACTGGGCAAAATGAGGAGACAAAGGAATATGCTCCAAACCAAAGAACAAGATAAAACTCAGAAGAACTAAACAGAGTAGAGGAGAGCAATCTATCCAACAAAGAATTCAAGGTAATGATCATAAAAATGCTCAATGAACATGGGATAATAATGGATGAACATGGCAAGAAGTCTAACAAAGAGTTACAAAATATAAAGAAGAATCAAATGGAACTGAAGAATATAATAACTGGAAAAATAAACTAGAAGGAACCAAGAGTACATCACATGATACAGAGAAACAGATAAGTGAACTGAAAGATAGAATAATGGAAACCACCTAAGCTGAACAGAAAAAAAGGAATTTAAGAAATGAGGATAACTTTTTGGAACAATACCAAGAGTAATAATATATGCATCATATGGGTCCTGGAATGAGAAGAGAGAAAGGCACAGAGAATTTATTTGAAAAAATAATAGCTGAGAATGTCCCCTCCCTGGAAATGTAAATGGACACCCAGGACAAGGAAGCAACAGAGTCCAAAACAAGGTGAACCAAGAGAGACTTTCACCAAGCCTCACAATAACTAAAATGGCAAAATTATAGATGGAGAATCTTAAACATGGCAAGAGAAAAGCAACCAGTTATATATAAGGGAATTCACATAAGACTTTCAGTTGACTTTTCAGTAGACCCTGCAAACCAGGAGTGCCACAATATATTTAAAGTGATGAAAGGACAAAAAATACAACCAAGACTACTATACCCAGCAAGGCTATCTTCAGATCTGAACTGGAGAGAATGTTTTACATAGAAGCAAGGACTAAGAGAGTTTAGTACCACTAGACCAACAGCTCTCCAAGAAATGCTAAAGGGATTTCTCTAAGTAGAAAAGATAAGACCCAAACTAGAAATATAATAATCACAGAAGGTAAAAAAAGTCTCACCAGTAAAGGAAAATGTAAAGATCAATCACTTATAAAAGTACAAGGAAGGTTAAAAGACAAAAGTGGTAAAATACACACATAAACTAAGAAATACACACAAAACACATGCAAAATATGATGCTTAAAAACATTAAAGGTAAGAGGAGTAAAAATGCAGGGTTTTTATATAAGTTCAAACTTAAGAGATAATCAACTGACAACAATCATATATATTGTGAAACAAAAATATCATGGCAAGAAAGCAAAAACGTGTAATAAATGACACACACACATACAGGAGAGACAGAGATAGAAAGAGAAAGGAATCCAAATATAACACTAATTATAGTCATCAAATCACAAGGGAAGACAGCAAAAGATGAAGATAAAAGGACAAAAACAACCAGAAAAAAATTGGCAAGATAGCAGTGAGCACCTACTGATAATTATTTAAAATGTAAATGTTGCAATCAAAAGACATAGCAAGGGGCTGAACGACTACAAAACAAGATCCATCTATATACTGACTCTAAGAGACTCACTTCAGATGTAAACACTGACAAAAACTTAATGTGAAGGGATAAAAAAAGTATTTTATCCAGTTGGTAACAAAAGAAAGCTGGAAATTCCAGAAAGATGGCAGAGGAGTAGGTGGATGTGGAGTACATCTTTCTCCACAGATGCATCAAGAACATACCTTCAGATGCAGAAGATCTCACACAACACCAGCTGAGAGCAGGCAGGAGCCCCTGACCACTAGAAAGGAATACACAAATTCACACAAATCTCAGAAGAATGAAGGAAGGAAGAGAAAAAAAGGAGAGTGAGCAGGACTGGGCCTGTACCCAGTGGGTGAACGAATTGAAGCAGGGATCAGATCCCCACATCAGAGCAATTGTTTGGGACAGAGGAGAAGCATTTGAGGCTGTGGGAGAGTGGAACAGCTGATCTGTGACAGTCTGAATGGAGTGAGAACCACACAGACAATCCTTGCTGCAACACTACATTCCCTGGACAGGGACCCAAGTCCCCTGGAACACATGGTAGTGGGGAACTGGGGTGTAGGGATTGGAAACCAATCCCAGGGCAAGGGCTGCTGTGATTGTGGTGAAAAGGCCTGAGGGGAAGTAAGGAGGAGATTGTAGTGGGGAATGCCTTTGGAGGAAAGCTGGGCAGCCATGGAGGCAAAGTGATACTGCTGAGTAATGTGCAGACAGTGGAGCCATCAATGTAGCCTCTCTCCCCTCACATGCCAGTGCTGGCAGCTGACTAACAAAGACCCCAGAGACGGTGGCCCCTTAAGTACTTGACAAGCT